AACAAAAAACAATCACACATAACGTTAAAAAGTTAAATGTAATGTAATAACGATCCCATCAACATGGCATGTTACAATACAGTGACAAACATGTAAATAATTACTCAAAGTTTATAGCAAAAACTTTTGTTTTTGTTTTTACTACTCACTCTGGCGATTTTCCGTACGTAAGATTCAAAATGAACGCGGCTGACATCGGGTAGATAAAGAGATTTTGGAATGTTGGCCTTCTCGATGAAACCGTCGCCCCATGTCTTTGTGAAGAAATCCCTCTGAAAGAGAAAAACAATTTTAAACTTAATTATACTGGATGTTTTTATCCTTCTCATTTGTTTTCGTGAATGACCGACAAATTACCTGGCAGTAGAATGAAAGGTTTAACATCACTAGTACAAAAATGAAATCAAAGCCTCGGACAGACGGACCTAACAGAGGACCGAATGGAAGAGGAGAATTGAGGAGGCCATGGACCGAATACGGACCGGAGAGCCATAGGAGAAGAACAAAAAGTCTACCAACGGATATGACCTACGTTGGTTCGGCTCCATCCAATTCTCATCCCGCAAACAGATGTCTGATACGGGCAGAAAGTGTTTCTGTAACGTCAGTAAACTTCTAGCAAACTAAGAGGTGCAATGACCCAGAAGACAGCCATCTTCAAAATATTAAAACTTTCGCCCCTCCTGAACCAAGAACACGCAACGGAGTGTTTCGGAGAACTGTACCTTGTCATAGAAAATTGTAATTTGTTCAGCCAGAAGCACAAACTTAATTTTTATTTTTGATTCTTTAAAGCAGAAACTCATCTAAATAATATTTAAGAATTAAGATTGTACCGCAAAGAAAACATATCATCATTACAAAAATCAGCTGGCTAATACAATTTACATAAATAATAGTGTTTATTGTAACAATCATACAAAAACCACAAAATAAAATGAGGACTTCTTCTCGACTGTTAAAGAAGTGTAACGTATAGTTATGATTCAGCTTTAAATGGTTAACTAACCACAACGTTACAATACCAATTTTTGTTTCTCTCATAACCTCACTTTCAAGAGCTGGAGATCATCATAACCTCACTTATTAATTCGATTACCTGCTTTCCCCTGTTTGGATCATTTAGGACTGCAGGCAAATTCTGTGCTGCAGAGTATATGGACCACTCCTGACCCACAACCACGACATTAGGCTGGTCACTCATCTGCTGGCTCATCAGCTTCCTGAAGTTGCCTCTCCTGGCTTTAATTGCAGATTGGTTTGGGAACACGTGATGCCTGTACACATGATCTTCATAGTCTTCATCACTCACGCCTTCAACAGGCAACGACGAGCACACACCATTGTACCCATAACGACAAACATAAGAACCTCCTTCTCTTGAACAGTGTGTCTCACGAAGATGGCTGGCAGGCAAGAAGATCACAATTTATTAATTTAATTACTTATAGAAATTAAAAATAACAATTCAGCCCACATAACCATTTTCTTTATAAATTTATTTACCATGTTATTTGCTGCTTTTTAAAATACTTATTTAAATGACAAACCACACATGGAACACCTTGCCATTCTGTTACCTGGTGGTCCATCACCATGATATTCATTATATAAAAGTATTTAAGCCAGCATTGAAAGATTATATTTTATCTCACTCCTACTCTGCAGAAAAATTTACTTCAATTCAAAATTATTACATACTATAAATATTTATGTAAACAGACATAATAAGTGTGCAATCATAATTTTGTTTTATATATTATTGTACTAATTGTTCAAATTCATACTATGACATGTTTGATTTAAGGTTTCACAGCCGTGAGTACGAAGATGGTTGTCTTCTAAGGTGTAGTGCCAGCATCATTAGGGCAATGATACAACACCCTGATGGTGTAAACAGCAGAACCTCTGAAACGATGGTAAACTTCTACCAGACAACATGGTGCTACAACCCAGAAGACAGCCATCTTCATACTGTGACACATTCCACAACTTTGGCTTGTACTGTGAAGGTTCTATGGAATGTAAATAAATTCTAAATCTAATGTCAATCACAAAAAGTCATTAAAATGTCAATATCAATACAAATTATAAACATGCCCCATGCAGGTTACGATATGATACAACATCTGAATTCACTACAAGCCTCCAGAGAATCTAAAGAATCACTAATATTATTGGAAAACGTCAGTATCCAGTCATAGTGTTAAGTTGTGAAGATGTGTCTCTTATATAATTCAATTACATCATATGGCATCAATTATTGAAGTGAGGAAGGTTTGCACTTACCGAATGAAATCTTGTTGTACCTTGAAGTCCAGGTTCGTACAAAAGCTGCAGTTTACCCAGGTATGTTTTGATTCTGGTAAGTGACACACTTTTGCCGTCATCTTGTGGGCATGGAAAACAAAATCTAGATGCATAACCACCAGATTGCAAATTTGTGTTACGTGTCATACAACAATGTAAACAAATACTTTAGTTTATAAACAATGCACAACATACACATCATACAACTACTGGCTGCTTAACATGATAACATAGGGCATCAGTTCCTCAGACATGTATCGAAATTCATTTCATTAAAGACACAAAATACAGACCAGCTGCAGTATAAAAAAATTGCCAAAATATGTGTTCCGTAACTGCTGCTACAGAATATGTACTGATAACTCATTACTTTCGTAACTGCCCGATTTAAAATTACACACATGAACAATACCGAATACAGCTAGGAGAAATTTTATTACTTATCGTACGATCACCTTCATCAGCTGAGTTAATTTGCTGCGTGGAAAACTGTATTTTGGTGTGTACTGTCTTGCCCTGCCACCCAACCAACCAACAAGCTAACTAAAGGGCGTATTCCTGCGCAAGCGCAAGATATCGTCTCTTGCTATAGGTAACATGATTGCCATTGTGTGGACTGTTTAAAAACAACTCTTAATCGATACATACAATCAACATTCATAGTGACATCTTCGAAATATTTTCAAAGAACTGCCATAAGAACACCTACTATTCAAGATAGAAGTCGAAATAAGGCACGTAATTAATATAACGAAACGGTTGTAACATTTAATTTTGGGGCAACTGACAACACCTGGAGACATCTTGGCACGATTCACAAGAACTACTACAAATACAAGAACGCCTGTTATTCCATTATTATTCCCAATAGATGCCGCAAGAAGCAGCAGTTGAAACATTCATTTTCATAACCATTCCGTTACGGTAGCGTAATCATATCGAAGCTGACCTAACCTGAAAATGTCTTCTGTTTTGTCTGTGGGACGGTGAGATAATCATGTTGCATCGTATTGTGTTTCTTTTAGTGTTATGCCGTGCCGCACAAAGTGTTCCGCACTTAGGTGTACGTCTACGTATAAGGAACATTCTTCAAATGAACCAAAAATTCGACACGGATCGTCACATGCATTATCGTAACATAAGCAAATCTGATCTAGTATAGTAATACATGTGTGTAACAAACCAGATCTTATGACTTCAACGTCTGAAAACGTGAATTGTAATCTTAAGGACTGTTAACCACCAATACGACTACACAACGTCACAGTCCACTTACAATAAGTTAAGTTAGTAGAACTTTACTGAACTAGTCCTATATTTTGAATATTATTACCGTGACCTAGACATGAATTTAAATTATCCGTGACCTTAATTGTATTTTATTTGTTTTTGTTTAAGATTAACATTTCTGAGCCGAAAATATTATTTAGTCATCCAGTCTCTGCCTCAAAGACAACAATAACTTTTATTGCAATAATTTATTTATGTAAAATGTCAGTTATGTTTTAAGGAAATAATAATTGTTCATTCTCAGAATCACATGAAACTCATAAATACATGGGGAAACTACAGATCTCTTGATTGATAATTAAGTTTACACTATTACCAGTAGGATTTAATGTGTTAAATATTGAATTCAGGAAGCTAATACGTTTTAATTGTTCAGAGTGACGTAGTAAAAGAACAATATATTCAGGTAGCACAAAGCACATGAACGTGATGAACGTACTGAACCTTGACTTACTCAAATTTCTCCCGATCGACAGTTTGCATAACAATCCTGTAATTATATTCAAAATGACTCCACTGTATTACAGCATCACCGTCAATAAGATTCTTCATCTTTTATAATCCTCCAGGTTTGTTTACGGAACAGTAAAAGTGATATAAAATTAAACGAAGTGTAATCTGTTTTCTTTGCCAAGAATTAACATATCTTCTATTTTAAGATCAGGTCGTAGCAACGATCTGTTTTTGCTATTTTTACTGTAACTAGAATTTATACAAGTTACTTCGTTTTAAAAACTCCTATATGGACCATACATGATCATTATGCTAGCAGTATGCTGCATGAAACACAAACTCTTTAAACAAGGAAGTGTTTAACATCTTTAATAAAATTTTGTAGGGACCCATCGTACACTTCTACTCTGTCCAAAACTTAGGACCATTCACGCTGAAATCGTAATTTGTATTCAGGGTTAGGTTATAACGGTTCGAATTTGATCGGTTTATCTCAGGTTTAAGTCGTATTACTCAGTCCCCTACGGCTCAGATGGTAACTTCTAAGATACCACTGCTTGTTTCCACCAACCAAACGAAATTAACCACAGAAAAAAAAACTTCCTATAAAGCCAACAGCTGCTAAGTTGGTCAAACATTATCTGTCTTTGTAGAAACAAAATGATCAGTATATCAAATCTAAAACTTCTTGACGATGGTGAAGAGTCAATTGAATAAAAATTTACTTGGATATTATCCATCGTCTAGTAATAAAACGTAAAACGACGTTTCGGAGATGGGGCTCTATCTCCGTCTTCAGGTTCCTACTCAGTTGGGCCCACTAGATAGAGCTAATCCCTATCTCCGGACAAATTAAAAAAAAGTGAAAGTCCCAGAATAAAAAGGCATAACCACACCATCCATCCGTGGGACGTAAAAGAATAGTATGTAAAATCAAAATTCATAAACACGATAAAGCCAACAAAATAAAAACTCACAAAAAAGGTGGGAATAAATACACATTACGTTTTTGTACGTTTTATTACTAGACGATGGATAATATCCAAGTAGATTTTTATTCAAAATGATGAGTACTCTATTCCCAACAGAAAGTCACTGGACACTACTCTGAGCTAGTTAAGTCCAATCCACACCTAGACACAAAATGTATTTACTATTTATTCTAATAATTCCTTCCGTTCTGTCACAGGTTTACGTCTTCCAAGTGAAGTTTTATTTTTATATTTTTCGACTAACACGTGTTATAAATTCACTCCTTCTTCCGCGGGTTTTATGATGTGATTACATCAGTAACGGTACAATAAATTCTTCTCCGGTTACCAGCCGTGTCAGGTGTTTAACGGAGAAAACACCGACGTTTCGATAACCATTTTTGTCCTCAGTGTAACCTCAGAACGACGACGAAGATTGTTATCGAAAAGTCGGTGTTTTTGCCTTTGAACTCTGTTCAGAATTTATAACTACAATTTTACCCGTTGTTTTTGCATGGTTGCGAAACTTGGTCTCTGGAATTTTTACTGTTCACCAAATATGATTATGGCGATGAAACCTAGGAGGATGAAATTGGAGGGGCATGTGGCGCACACTGAAGAGATAAGAAATGTGCATAGAATTTTGATTTGAAAGCCTGAGGTGAAGAGATCATTTGGAAGACCCATGGATGGATGGGAGGATAATATTTAAAAGTATCTGAGGAAAATGGTGTGGACGAGATTCATCTGACTCAGAATGTGGACCAGTGGCGGGCCCTTGAGACCACGGTAATGAACCTTCAGTTTCCATAAAAGACAGGGAATTTCTTGACTAGCTGAGCACAGACCTACTGTCAGCTTCTAAACAACGACTCTGCTCCATGGATTTTCTTTGGACATCCTTAACAGGAAATATTTAAGAAGCTTTGATGCTTGATAATTGGATATCTTTGTAACTGTCACTCTTAGGCGACATATTACCTTTCCTTTGAAACGGACCAATTAGAACATCGAAGGTTTCCTGCATTACCTATAGATATATATCGCACATTTCTAGAACACTGCTGAAGTGCATGCAGACTTCTAATTAAGCCAATTTTCAACTTGTTTTATAAGATATATAGAACACTTTGTAATTATAAAAGCCAATTCTGAACTCAATTCTTATAATTAATTACGCTTCAAAATAGGACATATGACATATTAATTGGTGAAGTTACGTAATTTCTGTGTCTAAAGTAAGTAGGAACTTTAAAATCAACATTTTAAGGTGTATGAGTCTGCATTTAGTGGAGAATTACCATACTGTACGACTCTTTTTAAATTATTTTACGGAACTTAAAACGTAATAACTTAACTATGATGTAACTTAGTAAGTTCTATACATATCATGCAGAAGATAACTTGTCTCTCGAAACTAAGGGCACCAGAAATACATATCTCTTGGTAGAGACAAAGAAATATATTACTTTTTTAATGTTTAAAAACTGTAGGTGTGATCTGGATAAAAAGTAAATTTCTCGACGTTTTGTGCAAAATAGAGAGATTTTAAGAAGACGTGACAGATTTTGTGTAGGATGCTGGTAGGCGGTTTCTTTAGATAGTGACGTCAACAACAAGTAACGCCCACTTTAGGTGAGGAGCGTCTGTTCAGAGTTCTGCTACACCGCCGATCCGCTCCGATGTACCCCACTTCGCGTCTCGTCATCGAATTTAAACACCCTTCACCCCCGCTTTGCAGAAAGACCTTTACTATTACAGCAGAAAATCGTAATAAAGGGGTAGTGCTTGGTTCTGGCGCCCTCTGAGCGGCGATCTAATGCACCAAGAGTCGGTGTTCTAAGGGAGCAATCGGTGAAACTGAGTTGAAGTACCAGGAGCTCACCACGAGACCACAGAAAGTTTCTTCAATTGACGAGAATCGAGCAGGTAAGTCTGACTTATGCTTGTGATAATCTCACTGCTGAGTGTATCTCTAAGCTGCTGATAAATCCTATCCAGACACTAAGGGGAACTTCGAAAAGAATTAGAAACTCACTTTTTGGCACACCTTATAATGCGATACGTCATTTTATTTTTATCTACAGGAAAGAAGAAACATTTCTTGAACCCCAAAGTTATATTTCGCAAAATATATTTTATTATAGAAATGCGACTTATAACCTAAGTTTAGTTAGTTTAATGTTTAAACTAAGTTACTTCAAGTAATACACATTTCCGTTTTTATTGTAGAAAATGCGATTATTACATTTATTATAGACATTAAATTATAGCTCTAGAAGACCAAGCTAAACAAATGAGTTTTTATTCTTATCTGGCTTAAATCTAGTGTATTAAATGCAGTGGTGAATACAAAGTATTTTCACAAGATACCAACAAAGATATTTACACACCAACAAAAATTATTATAGCTTCTTGGCTCACTGCAGATTGATAGATGATAAATTTCAAAGTATGTGGAACTAATTTAGATCGATAAATTTTTTTGGTGTTTGTCTGGGGAATATGCCGAACTAATTTAGATCGATAATTTTTTTTGGTGTTTGTCTGGGGAATATGAGAAAAGACTTGGTCAGCATGGTCGATATCTGGGTCATGATTCGAAGCCAGGACTTCTCAAATATCAAGCAGAATTGCTATTACTCACTGGAAACTTTACCAACATATAAACTTCTGATAATCAATCCTTGGTCTGACTAAGCAAAACTATTAATTAGACAGGATTCATGCCTCCTTGTCATATGCCTATTAAACCTTTAACACCCGAAGCTAATATAAAAATTTAAGAATTCAGCCCGTACCGCAAAGAAAACACAGAACTTCACCGTTAAAAGATCAGATGGTTAATAAGATTTTTAAAAAAATATTTTTTTCGTAAGAATCATACGAAACTCATAAATACACAACAGTCAAAATGCTCAATTATTGACAGCTGAAGTAGGTGGTACGCATATTTATCATTGGATTTTAAAGGGAGACTCACATATATTATTTTATGATGTCGTAATATGTTTGGGTAATAGGGTATTTCAGATCTGTATATAACTCTATAGGATCCTTCGCGAACATTTAGCGTCTACGTAATGAGAAGGATGTTTCTAGCATCAAAGCGCGGGGAGGAAGTTCAGTCCCCCCCCCTCTCACGTGTTCAAAATGAACTACAATATTCAACTTCCGAGTTCGCTCTTTTCAAATCATTACTAAAATAGGCCAATTACATTTTTCGGACCAATCTCCCGCTTATAAAACCAGCGAATACTTTAGTGGTGTTGAAACATGAAGTCCAACCACATAATATTTAAAAAGAAAATTAGTTCCTACCTCAAAGACAGCACAGCATGCCTCCAATTCTTATAATCATGTAAACGTCATAAATATATTCTGTGTGCAAAATGTAGTTAATGAACGTTAGAGGTGGTGGTATATTTAGTTAAGATTGGGATTTTAAATAAGTAAAATGTACATATTTTGAAATTTCTCGAGGTTGTGAACAAATAATGTACACCAAGTTTTCCTTTACACACACACAAAACACACACAATGAAACTCAGTTGACTTAATAGTTAATATTATGAATTTTGTCTGGAATTAATTTTGGGACAAAATTCTTGATAGTCAATATCTTTTCCGACATATTACATAATAGAATTCAAATTGACATCTACGTAAATTCCTTAATAACATACGCGTAATTTATCAATTAAAACTTTTATTCAAATAGAATATACGAGAAATATTTCCAGAATAACACAGGGAAAAATATTTTTGAAGACATTTCAAAAAATAAATAAGTACAAGCCCTGATGACGTAGGCAGTATGACCTCTGAAGCGTTGGTTAACATCGACCAGACTACACAGCGCAACAACCCAGAAGAAAGAAATATTCATACTCACCGCTGTGAGGATCTCAAGTCTTACAAGTACAAGCTAGGTTTTTGTGAGATAAGTCACTTACAAACACTGCATTAGTTATTCTTACATTTGTCCCTAGAGAAAGACCTTGCTGTGCTGAGTTCTATGCAAATATTATCCAAAGTACATGTTTCGCCTTACTTTTCGTAATAAAAACGTTATTGTAAGGCAAAGAGAAAACTTTAAAATGTAGGTTTTCCATTTCACACAAAGAAAAAAAAACATAGAAAGGAGATACGAGCTGAGAAAAGAATTTACGACTTATGTTTAAATGTTTTACAGAATCAAATAACCACGCGCTCTAACCAACCCAAACTTAAGGTCATCGTATCAAACTATACCCAACCCAGTCCGACTCTGTCCAATCGACCACCAAATCATATCGAATCGAAATTGATCTTAAACAACCGAACATAAGAATACATTCAAACAGAATCGAAACTGAAGCCACGATAACAAAATCCTTCTGCAAACACATTTGTATCAGGTCAAAGGAATTTCAGGATTAACTCACAATAGACATCTACAGCTGCCTCCAATCTTAAACAGAAACTCTCACCAATAGCACCGAGTTGTCGCATACTTGAACCCTGAAGGCAAAGACATTATAGAAACTAATCAAGTATACAGATACAGAACAAAAACACTAATTAAACAGTGAATTCCAGAATTACTCTTAGCCTGTTTATGAAATCTATTTGGTAGCGAGGATTATTTTGATGTGTTGAAAACATTAGGAGAATATAGAACGCCTGCAAGCTGTAGTTAGTCTAACCCGCATCACAGAGTCGTCAGAGAAGTTGCCACCCTCCGCAGGCGCACTAAGAGAAAACATGTTTCTCAAGCTTACTGCGGTACAATAAAAGATCCCATATCAGCGAAAGTACACAGATTTGATTAAAAATATGCCCTGTGTCTTGTATCCATGCAGAATTCATTTTGATAACCTGAATGTCTTACACGTTTGGGAGGACATGTAGAACGCGGGTCCGCAGATATTGGCTGTCTGGATTGACACTCCGTGTAGATGTGTAAGATACATAACGATTTGGAGGAGCATACCGCTTTCAGCTTCAGGACTTACTCACTACTCTGAAAACTTCAAATCTCAGGGTTTCTACCCACAGTACAATCAACGAAACTAAATCCAAAAGCCCCTCTAGAGAAGTTGATAGTCGCTCAGCGTATCTTACTTAAAAAACAATGCTTATCTTGTTTCAGAATAGTCGAGAATCTTAATCGCCTTAAACAGCGCAATCTCTTCGAGTATATTTTATCTCCGTTCCAAAAGATACGCAGCCAACTATCTCTCCATTTTGAGATAAGTGCACGTGTTCCCTAACTTTCTTAGACTGTTACATTTCTGTATATACACTTAACCCCTTAACGCTGAAGCTCGTCTAAACAGTATATAATAATTTAATCCGTACCGCAAAGAAAACACCAAACTTTACCATTACAAAGTTCAACTGTTTAACGTCGTTTAAGGAAATAATCGATGTTTACAGCAAAATTCACACGAAATTCATACGTATAAAATGTAGTCTTATTTATTACTAAAGCAAATGGCACTGTTTTTTAAATAACTAATACAAGAAAAGAAAGAAATACATTTTGCAGGAACTTAAGGAGCTTGATAGAAATAATAATATACGAAGCTTTTAGTCGATGCTTTGAGTATTAACCATAACGGATTCTACTAAAATGTTTTTTATGCCGGGTGAAGTATATCCTAAAATGGTATATGGGACACATGTATCCATTACGTGGTCTTATCTTCTGCATTTTATCTTCATAACACGCGCAAGACGTAAATTTTCTTGTAATGTTTATATCAATATACGGACGCCATAAATAAGAGCCTAGTCTTCCAATGCGGGTCCTGTCGTAAGTAGCTAAGGAAATGAATATAAATAATATTTTAAAAAATAAATACCACCGGAAACTGATATTCGGTGATGTGTCTGATTCTTATGTAACATTTCATAACTGCAGGAACAGATAAAGAAGCCTGCTGGGATTTTTACATTTTATTACATCCCGTATCAATATTTAATTTCTCGTGTATAATACAGAACAATCAATGTAAGTATAGTAAATAGATCAAAAATTAATAATAAACACAATCAGTTGTAATATTTGTCTGATATTAATTATTTGTTTAGATAAAATCTGTGATAAATTTTTCATATAATAGCTTCCTAGACCTGTTTTGCATTTACTGTAAGGTCAATATTATTGTAAATATTATTACTGTTATTATTACCAGAGCGGAAATTGTAATAGGCTACTATAATATTCGCGCTTCTCTATCGTAAATAGATTCAGGTCGTTGTTAGTGTAATTTTAATAGACTTGACTAAATAGACCTGAAATCCTCGCCAAGGTAAAACAGATTCTAGTCCTATTAGATAAATGTATCGTTACTGCTGTTTATTAATATCTTATAGACATATTCAAATGTCACATTTCTGTATCTGACATAAAAACTTTATATTACTTCATATTGAAAGTGCAAAATAAGGACAAAGTTTTTTTTTTTTACAGGCATATAATAACGACCCACATACGCTAACAGGCATAATAGATCTATTACGAACTTTCATAAAGTTATAATTAACTAATTTAATTATTTCATGTTTTATTCTATTAAATTCAACGGACCTGCTACGTATCGGACGGATCAATCCATTGGCTGTGGTTTCTTAAGGATAATCTTTTAGACTGAAGACGCAGAGATAAAATTACGGGAACACGAACTACTCGACACCCGCTAATAGAATACCGAAGTTACTGGATTTAATACACTGAATAACGCATATTTGAAAAAATTCCTCAAACAGAACTTATCTCTTGAACAATTATTCAGAGGTTAATGACACTTTATTAAACACGTTCGGTCACATTCGCGAGCGAAAAGAGTGACTAAAAATTTATTGTAGTTTGGGTATTATCAGTGTCTGTGTAAATACTGAATTAATGTAAGATTTAGGAAAATGTAGGGTACCAAAAATCCGTATCGATAAGTTTCTACCAGATTACACGGGGCTACAGCCCAGAAGACAGTCACTTAACAAAGCAGGAAACTTGGCGGCTAGGTTACGCCTTCCGTCTGTCTGTCTGTCTGTCTGTGGATGATACCGGTTTTGCGACCAGGTCGGTCCACATGGGATTTGTTGTGGATGAGGTAAGACCGGGACACGTTTTTCTCCGAGTCGTTCAGTTTTCTGCCATCCGTAAATTTCTACGACTGCTCCATATTCACTCGCGTATCATCCGGGGGACGAACAATGAGTCCGCCAGAGGCCGCAGATCTAAAAAGAGAGACAGTCTCACCCCATCGTAACAACAAATAAATAAGGCGAGCACTTCTGGGTTCCTAAAGATAATGGGTAGAAGCTCCTACCTTTAACTACGTGGCGCTGGGTTGAGAGCACCTGTCCAAATAACTTCTTCTCTTAAGCATCGATTTTATACCACCTGCTTTATACACCACGTGTTTTTATTTCGTATCTTTTGTCCAATCGTCTTAAAGCAAGGAATTGTAGGATTATATAGCAGCCATTGACCGTTCTAGACTGCAGAAACCGAGGCCTTTCCCTTTTAACTTAAAACTGTGTCCTTGTAACTTTCAATTTTCCTCCGTGAAACGGAAAGAGTTTCTAAACATTTAGCTAACGTACACAGTCAGCGGTTGGTCATTCTTACACTGCTATATCAACTATCTAGATTACATACTTCCACTGATACCACTAAAACAGCCAAAAATGCTTAAAAAAATATAGAGAAGCGTACTTCGTTAAGTCCCGTCTTCAGTCAGCACCTCGTTGCAATTATCTTTTCTTGTATTACAAAGAAATTAATTAAATAAATTGAACAGAACTGAATTTCTATTATTATCTGAGGTATCACGTTATCAGGGCGAGGAGTATGAAAAAGGCTATATTCTGGGTTGCTGAACTATGTAGTCTGGTAGTTTCCCGACGTTTCATAGGTCAGGGCGATAGCAGGAAGCACATCCGAAACGTCGGTAAACTTTTATCAGACTGCACGGCGAAAACCACACAGAAGACAGCCATTTCAATACTTTCATTCGGAAACATAGGCTTTTGAAACATTAATTTTTAAACTACGGACATTTTCATAGAAATCTCTTGACAGTTTATTACTTAATTTTACCGAGGAAACGTTAAATAATTTAACCTATTTCTCATAAAATTATACACACCACGAAGTGAAGTGCTTGTATTGTAACTATTAAGTTCAATGAACAGAGAAGTGGACTATCTACTGGGTCAGTCTTGACAATAACAGGATGGTCTGTCAACTTGAAAAGCCGAGTTTATTTTGAACACTGGACTGTACATAGAACATACACAGATGTATCTGCCATCTTGTTAAATCTGTTCCCTCTGAACGTTTTCTTCTGTTCTCATACGTGTTAGCAGCAATGCAACATGAGATGAGAATAACTGGTTCACATGATGGCCGACTTTGTAACAAGCAAACTTTGTCCAGATCTTGTAACCTAACTTACAAGAACAGATGTTATTACAATTTTAACAAGCAACAGAAAGTAGCTATGAAGTTACAGCCGTCGCCATTTTGATATGTAAAAAAAAAAAACAGAGACATTTTGGTTTTCTAAATTGTAGACAACATCAAAAAATTCTACGAAACCAATAATAATTTCGTGTGCTAATCTTCCATCACGTTAAAAAGCCAATTCTTATGCAGAGATGGTCAAATTCTTATACGTTCCGCCGTGTAGTCTTATATTTTTGAAGCGACGTTTATAGATTAATACAGATCTATTGAAATTTTATACATTTTTTAATCCTGTAGAAATCATTCTTCTCCTTTTTAACGTAAGACGGAGGCTTTCCTAAGTGGTAAATATGATCAGAATAGGTAACTGACAAGGGATGATCTTCCACGTTGGGGATTCGACGCGGGGACTACTCCCCACCAAAGAAAAAACATGACAGGTAATGCCACATGGGACTTCGGACTTCAGGGCTGTTGTGAACGCGTTCATGAACATTAAATTCTATGAAAAGCATTATTGACAACCTGAGCGACTGCTAGCTTCTCAATAAGGACACTCCTCCATGGAGTAACATATTCAAGAATGTAATCCTCATTTGGATCACAGATATTTCAATCGAAAGTCCCATTCGTGAGTTAAAAATCAACCTGGGTTTAATATTAATATCTTTCATTTATAAATATCAGCATTTGAAACATATGTAGGAAATCAGTGTGTTAAACTGTTTGCAGTCATATTTCGATAAAAAATATAAAAAATATCCCCAAATAAAACGCGTTAGAACAGGTGAATAACCGAATTATCAGCTTATACTGACCTCCACGCCCCACGTGTTATTAGCCGCAACTTTCAAGCGGTGTTTGTCACGAGATCTTCAAAGAACTCGCGTTCCCTACTGAAATGTAAATCCTTTCATCTCCACGAGGAAATTATAAGTTAATAATTATGCAAATCAGTGACCTATCTTTGTGCTGTAATTTCCGCACCAGCAGATTTCCAATACCTACAAGTTGTCACACATAACCTCAAAGCTTGTATCCC